ACATACTCTACTCCTCACACTCTTTTACAGGTATGAGTGAAAAAGTTCGGCTTTGTGTCGACTAAAAACGTCCTGTTTGTTAATAGCAGTCGTGGCTTTCGCCTTGATACTGAATGATGTACAACGGATTCGTAATTGGTACAAACCCAAATTCTCATTGGCTCAATGCGGCATCAATTCCGTGTAATAACCGTTTAGAAGCACATTTGCTTACTTACCGAAAATATCAAGACAATGGCATTGGCGTCTACAGTTGGAAAATAAATACTGATTTATTCCCTCTGTAAGAATATCCGCTTTTATCGAGATTTCGGTATTGTGGGGACTTCTGCCAGTTATAAAGAGACATTAATCAGAAATAGCGTTCAATCAATTCTAAATGTATAGTTACTTGGTTCAAAGGGGTATATTTATTTTAGTACAACAGTAAAGGAGGAGAAGCAACGAAATGCTATTATTTACACAGAGACGATTTCTATTTGTGATCATCTCTTGTGTGGAAAAGTGATATGCATTTATATATGAGGTGGTTAAAGGGCTATGCTTGAAATCTACGGCATTTTCTTTCGATAATATTTTAAACTGATAATTGTATGATATTTTTCACTTTATTAATTTCATTTCATCTTCTTTATGTTTTCCTCTGGGTTTGTAATAGCACCGACAGGTTAAGTCACCAGATATGCATAGGGTTAATAAAAAGTAACAACTGAAAGGCATAATAAAGCCATTCGTCCTGTGAATTCTGTTTACAGATCCCAAAAAGAGAACAATGAGGTTGAATTTTATTCTTTTTTGAGAGATTATTGAATATTGTTGTAAAGACGAAGAAAATTACAATGATATACCAGTGCGTTGCGTTCAGGTTAGGTTAATATCTTCATCTTTTTTGTTACTGTGTACGATGAGGATATGAAAAGCAGTATTTTGGAGTTTTTTACCTTTCCAAGTCGTGTTGAGCCTTAAATTTTGGTCTAGTGTGGGATTAAAATCTGAGACCTAACGTTCCGGGCTTTGTTATATACTTATATAACAAAAAGTAGAGTTTTCCTTTCTTGAATATGTTTGCTGGCCAACTTCTTTCTTAGTTTATCTGGAAAATATCCGATATAATTTCATAAATTCCTTTTCTCACCAGAGGAAAGGTCTAAGTGAGGGGTTGATGTAGTAAACATCAGGGAAGGAGAGAGAAGGCTTGTATTTTGTTTCTTGCTTCCTTTTCTCAATGCCTATCTACAAAATATAGCCTGTCAACCAAAGCAAATTTTTATACGATATATTTTCAAATGGATGAGGAAGCTTCAAATTGCTTTTGCAGAATAGTATTACTACATCAATCTGTTTCTTTATAGATTAACGTTGAATTTTATATTCTCTCATTTCTTTACATGGATGACTGTATATATTTTTTGTTGATACTTATATCTAATCTATTTTACTTATGCTTACACACTATCTTCCATTTTTTTTCATTTGTCTAAGTAGTGTACTCAACTATTTTATATTAGTGAAAGGTTGTAGAAACCTTATTCAAAAATATATTATCATTATTTGAGTCAATATTATTATTATTATTATTATTATTAAATTATAAATGTCAGAGGATAACAGCAATGAAGGTGGACTTGAGGTGATTGATACCTCACAAAGCAAACTTGTCCTAGGTGAGGATATGATTATGGAATATATTTCTCCATTGCAGGATGACAGCTGGGTACGTCAGTCGGTCTTTGTCCACATTGAAGAGCTCACTGATACGGACCAAGAGATGATTCACAAGAAGGAATTACTCCAGGCGCATGCGTTGGCCACAATGCGAAAAGCAGTTTCTAACAAGATTAGTAATTCTGACTTACCGGCTGATCTGATTAACAACGAAAATTTACTCAACGAAATACCGAGAAAGAAGGACCCCATATTGGAGGGCATCGAATGGCAAGAAAGGTTCCTGGCGCAGTATAAGATTGAGCACTTCGCTGAGGACCGTATAAAGGCAACTAACTACAAACAAAGCATGATGAAAAACTACCGGACTCGTAGCAATGAAGCTCACGCTATTGAGGGGCAGAAACATTCGGAGTCCATCCCCCCCTATCCAGTTCCCGAAAAGAAGGAATTTAC